CGCCCACCATACTACTGAGGCCCTCTGCAGAAAACCCACCCTCCTCCCCATTGAGGCCCCGCCCACCACACTACTGAGGCCCCCGTCCCTCTCCAGAAGACCCACCCTCCTCTCCATTGAGGCCCTGCCCACCTTGGCTGAGTCCCACATGGCTGCCAAGGCTCCACCTATGCCCCTACTCCCCTCCCGCTGGGTCCCCCAAGCCTGGCTGGCACCACTCACTCTGGTACCATTCACGGCTCTCTCCTGGGGGAGCTCTTGGGCCCCAGCCCCTTGGTAAGGAGCCTGCTAGGGCCTTCAGTACTCAGCGGTTTCTCCTACGCAATTTCTCAGTTTCAAATAAAACCCCTCTGCGGGACAGTTTCGGTAAGGGTTCCTCCCTCCTCTAAATCCAGAGCTGCGGCGGGTGTGGCAGTCAACTGACCTCGACCTCGTGCTCTCAGCACCAATGGCAGGGGGAACCCTGAGCTGTCCAGACAGGACTGATGATGAATGATCCCTGGAGCTGGGAGGGCGGGCGGGCGCATGGGGCAGTGGGGTGGGGGTCTGGGAGCCCCAGATGCCCCAGGGAGCTGCTGATCACAGTGGGAAGCGCTCCCCTCCCACCCCCCACCCCCCACCCTCAAGGCTCTGTCAGCTCCTGGGGATAGGCAAAGCCCCAAGGAGCCACCCACCTGCAGCTGGTAAGGTTTCCCTGCTCGGATCAGTTGGGAGACGAGGAAGTTTGTGTGGAAAAAGTGCACGTTTTCGTCCAGGAAGCCATGGAGAATGAGCAGGCGGTTGGGCCTGGAAAAGAGATGGGGAAAGGGTGTGAGGCCGAGGATTGTCCTTGGGGTAGGAGGGGAGCAGATCACAAGGTAAGGAGTTCAAGACCAGACTGGCCAACATGGTGAAACCCCGTCTCTACTAAATATAGATATATAAGTAATTAGCCAGACATGGTGGCGGGTGACTGAAATTCCAGCTACCTGGGAGACTGAGGCGGGAAAACTGCTTTAGCCTGGGAGGTGGAGGCTGCAGTGAGCCGAGATTGCACCACTGCACTCCAGCCTGGGCAACAGAGCAAGACTGCATAAAAATCAGCTGAGTTTAGGGGAGGCTGAGGCGGGAGGATCACTTGAGCCCAGAAAGTGGAGGCTACACTGAGCTATGATCGTACCACTGTACTCCAGCCTGGGTGACAGAGCAAGACCCCATCTCTAAATTAAATTAAAGACAAAAAAACAAAACCCAGGTCTGGTGCAGCGGCTCAGGCTGATAATCTCAGTACTTTGGAGGCCAAGCTGGCTGGATTGCTTGAGTCCAGGTATTTGAGATCAGCCTGGGCAACATGGCAAAACCTCATCTCTACAAAAATATGAAAAAGTTGGCCAGATTCAGTGGTGCACACCTGTGGTCCCAGCTGAGCCTGAGGTAGAAGGATCACCTGAGCCCTGAGAGGCTGCAGTGAACTATGATTTCTTTTTTTTTTTTTTTTTTTTTTTTTAAAGACAGGGTTTCACCTGTTGGTTAGGCTGGTCTTGAACTCCCGACCTCAGGTGATCCGCCCGCCTTGCCCTCCAAAGTGCTTGGATTACAGGC